ATCTGATACATAAAGGATAGAAGCTGAAATAATTCTGATATGTTAAGGGTATAGGCTGACATACATCTGATATATTAAGGATATAAGCCGAAATAAATCTAATATGTTAAGGATATTGGCTGACATACGTCTGATACATTAGGGATATGAGATAGAATAAATCTGATATGTTAAGGATCTAGGCTGACATATATCTGATACATTAAGGATATAAGCTGAAATAAATCTGATATGTTAAGGATATAGGCTGACATACATCTGATACATTAAGGATTTAAGATAGAATAAATCTGATATGTTAAGGATACAGAATGACATACATCTGATACATTAAGGATATAAGCTGAAATAAATCTGATATGTTAATTAAGGTTACAGGATATGACATACATCTGATACATTAAGGATATATAAGCTGAAAAACGTCTGATATGTTAAGGATACAGATTGAAATACATCTGATACATTAAGGATATATAAGCTGAAAAACGTCTGATATGTTAAGGATACAGATTGAAATACATCTGATACATTAAGGATATAAGCTGAAATAAATCTGATATGTTAAGATATAGGCTGACATACATCTGATACATTAAGGATTTAAGATAGAATAAATCTGATATGTTAAGGATACAGAATGACATACATCTGATACATTAAGGATATAAGCTGAAATAAATCTGATATGTTAAGGATACAGATTGACATACATCTGATACATTAAGGATATAAGTTGAAATAAATCTGATATGTTAAGGTTATAGGCTGACATACATCTGATACATTAAGGATATCAGCTGAAAAACTTCTTATATATTGACATACATCTGATACATAAAGGATAGAAGCTGAAATAAATCTGATATGTTAAGGGTATAGGCTGACATACATCTGATATATTAAGGATATAAGCCGAAATAAATCTAATATGTTAAGGATACAGGATATGACATACATCTGATACATTTTCCCGACTAAACATATTCCTTACAGTGTTTCTACAGAATAATGTTGAAAAGTTAAAAAAAAGAAATCCTATAGTACCAACTTCAAACTCAGAAAAGGAATTAGAATTCATGCAGGTATTTAAAAGATTTTTCAATGACCCACAATATATTATTATAATTTGAAATTACAAGTAGCAGTGTCATCAGGCTCAAACTAAACCATATGTAAAATTAATATGGCTTTAAGTTACTTACAGGCGCACATTTTAAGACCCCCCTTTTTCTAAATATGTTTTATGTTAAAAAAAATTTCGTAAAATTTTGACTTACATGTATTTTCACCTATTCTAATGTGTTTTTGCTCTTATATCCATAGGATATTACAATAACAATAGTTTATATATTATGCCCCTCTATTTTATTTTCCTGGAATATGGATGGATAGAAACTATTGTCATTGTCTGTATAATCATTTATTGTATTTAGATGGTTATGAAATCCTTTCAATTGATTGAAGGATGTTTTTAATCAAGCTGCAGTTTTGGAGGGGGTGAGGGGGTTATATATATTTTTTTGTAAAAAATGTATTCCAAATCAAAAGAACTATTTTGAAGGAAAGAAAAATTCTGATTGAGTGTTTTCGCCAATAAATTTAGTGGTACCGGTAAGTTCCTGAAAAATATTGTGCTCTACACGACCTTTTGAACTAAGTGTTCCCCTTTTCAATCTTATAGTGTGTTTAGTAAAGAAACCAAAACCGATTGGAAACATTACTATGATCTGACCACTTTATACATGTAAATTTCAATAAATTTATACTTTTAAAACATGATTTGATACAATCTTTCAACATAAATAATAAAAAATATGCAATGTAAAAAAAAAATGAAAAATTTACAAATATGTCATATTCAACCATACACAGAATGCATATACAAATAAAAAAAGAAAAAAACAAATACAAACAGTGATGTTGTGTTTTTATGATTAAGTGATCTCCCTTAGTGTGAAACTGACCTATAAGTTCCCTCTCTCTCTTGCTCTACAGCTATAATTTGGTGTTGCATTTTCCAAAGGTACTTGGGGAACAGGACATAATTTTTTTTTGCCCTCCACCTTTTTTCCACAATCGGTTATTTTTTTGTTTTCTATTAGTAATTTAATAACTATTGCGTTTTTCTGAATTGCATGAACATAAATATAATAGAAATAAGTTGTTTTTGCTATTTACCATAAATTCCAAGTTTAATATCCACGGCGGTCACTGATGTATTATATTGATATAGCTCTCTATATATAATACAGCAATATAGTGCTAGCAATGATTTCCTTAAAAAGTTATATAAATAAAGATATTGATTAAAACAAATATGGAAATGGACTTATTCAAGTACACCTTCTTGGGTGCGCTCGACTTTAGTGACTCAGCACGTGGTTTTTTGGGGTTGTTTAGGACTTTTTGTAGACAATAAACGCTAGCACATTACGGACAAACATGTCAGTAATCTATGTTTACAATTTTATACGTAAATCTCTGTAATGATTTAAAGTCTGTGGGTTTTTTGCAAAAAATCTTGGCTTTATTTCCCACCACATCCCCATTTTCTATTAAATGCAATGAAATACTTGAACAACGTTTCCCTTTGTTATATGTACAAAATGGCAGGTCACTTTTAGTCTGTATTTTTACTGTTTTGATATTGTAGCACTTTGAACATTTCGTAATACACAGGTATACAGAAGGGGGGTTGTTAACATTAAGAGTAAGTATGAAATTCCAAACATTTACTGAATACCTTTCGTTATAATATTTTTCTTCTGTTTCAGTTTATAAAATGCTGTTTCTCTTGTAAAGACAAATAGCTGAAAAATTATTGAAACATGACATTATAGCTTACTGGCATTTTCAAATAAATGCAAACTTTATATTCAAACCCTTAATTCCGTTCAAAAGATGATGTAAAAAATGCATGCGCAGAGAGATTTAATCCTCGGAATACCATTTTCCGCTTAATTTGACCTTGACCCCTGACAAGTTCATTCGATTTGAAATTTAAAAAATAGTGTTCATTAATAGATTGATTGTTCCTTGCTTGACTTTCGGTGGCAAATATTTCATGCATATTCAAGACGATCAAGTTAATAAAAACGACTGTCATAAAAAGTAGAAACTTGACAAAGAATAGACAAAATAGGGGTTTTGGGCAGGGACATCTAGTATATATATAAAACCACCGTTGGGCAATCTTGTCAAATCGGCACATATTTAAAATCAATTCGGCACCTAATATTACATTTACCCTTTTTTTTCCTTTTTATTTGAAGTATGAGGAGAGTAATTTTTCGTCTTATTTTTTTTTTTGCCGAAGTGACTAGAATTCACTTGTGTTAGACAATGGAAAAAATAAAAAATAAACGGAAGAGCTTGCAAAAGTTAATATAAAGACCATGAGCACCCTTAAAAAATTTCATCAGTCGCTACTTTTGAAATAATGAGTACAAATAAATAAGTAAATCCAGTATTAAAGATTAACATGCCGCTCATCTGACCTTTAAAATGAAAATAATATGAGATACTTTTGATTTAGTATATAAAACAAAAATGTCCGCAAAATATTGGAATGGAAGTTTTATGTCTTTAAATATAACATTCGAAACCATATACCGAAATATCTCGAGCGATGAAAGCATATTTTTTTCTTTCCATATTGAAAGAGTGCATATCATATATATTTAAGTCATAACTTCATCGAAAATTCAACGTCAGATAGTATTCTGTATCATATCCGAAATTTATGAGAAAATGAAAAAATATTGAAAAAGTCGACTCGTGTTTTGATCCATCATTCACTAACATAAAACGAAAATAATTTGGGAAAGTATGAAGAATTAATTATCTACCTTGCATGTGTGGTGTTACGAACAGCTTTAAATTTAACATCAAATCTTTTGCTTCTTTGAATTATTTCTGACGTTTTCGTCTGACGACAAAGGTCTATTTTAAGCAATTCGGTGGGAAGTTTTCCACTGGCCAAAAATTGGGGGTCACAAAACTTCAAACCAATGAAAACCCACAAAACAAGACACACCCTCGGCACTAAAACTACTTACAAAGTTCATTTGACCACAGCCTTGTTGAACAATTAACTTTTGATCTCAACTCAAGCACACAGCTATAGCCTACGGACAAATTATAATAAAGAACGAACATTAATTTTAATTCTAAATAAGTACGCGAAATGTTTTTTTTTTATATGTATTTTTTTAACAACATATATATACCAATTGAAGTTTTAATTAAATACGAACTAACCGGCGAAATTGCCATAAACGGACGTATGTACCCGATATCTATATTTCATTACAGCAAACTGATTTTAATCTATAATGAACTGATCATATATTTTTCTCCTGACACAAACAACTTGAGGAGTGTCTAGCTGACAAGTAAAATAGAAATTATGTATCCCACGCACGCGCGGCATAGTGGCTTCAGTGCCCGCGGCACGTTATCATCAGTATGTTGATGGAGTGCTGAACTATAAAGAAGAAAAAGAATTCAAACGAGAAATTTAACACCACTTTCAGCACTATTGTGCTGTTTCGTGGCGGACAGTTTTTATTAGTGGAGGAAGCCGGAGTGCGTTTATTTAAGAATTAATTGCTTCTTTTTATAATTTTATTATGGTGTAAAGGTTTACATTACATATAAGTTTCATAAGAACCCCCACTCAGTTTGATTGACTGACAACATTCGCACGAGGCATTCTAAATCATATTTTATTTTTCAATAAAATTCAACATTCATGACCGTGACAACGTCGCCACAATATATACTTTTGAAAATTTTATTCTCCCAACCTTAAAAAAAAATATAGACTATTGACGTCAAATGTTCATACTTCAACTTAAAGACACATAAATTGTTAAATTTTCATACTGTTCATTTTAACCAAAATAGATATATGCCGCACAGCTTTCTTTTCATATCATATTTATAAATGTTACACACAATTTATTTGTTTTGGCCTAAAATTCACCCGGAAGTGACGTGTGTCACGTGATCGTTAAATAGAAAAAGAAAAATGGCACTGCATCACAGACGAGGCGGCCGTGGTCACAACACTGGTCACCGTGGAGGAGGCTTTCATGGCCATCAACAGTAATTTTAATCATAAATTTCCACCTTTCTTCCAACATTGCTTTCAGTAGAGTACTGAAAAAACAACATTTTCTGTCACGAGATGAGTGCACATTATGAAAAATTAGATCAAAACACAGGAGTTTGAAATCTTAGCAATAACGCGTTATTGCTAAGATTTCAAACTCCTGTGGCTCTAGTCTACTGATAGTCGAGTTTGACATATTTGTACACCGTTATTGCTAAGATTTCAAACTCCTGTGGACCGTCCCAGAAAAATAATAAAATAGCCTATCAAGATCAGTGGTCTAGGATTTTTATACATAAAAAAATCACTTTCCCACAAGTTTAATGAACTTTCCCTGAATTTTATACTATTTATAAAAATGTTTTCCTAATTTTGTTATTCCTTTCCTCGCATGTCATGTTTATACATGTAGTTTAATTTGAAATTATGAACTGTTATTTCTTTTGAAATTAATTAGGCCTAGTTTGTCTAACTAGCTTGTGATTTGTTGATAATTCAATGTTCATCTAGATATGCAAAACATTTGACGGAATATACAATGTATTAATTTTATTTTGAAATATATTAATTTTAGTTTGACACAAGTCTATTTGTCCTCTTTTTGGCTCTAGTGCAACTGTCTTCTTTGAAAGTGACAAGGAAGGATTGAAGCTTTGACCCTTTACATGTCTGGTCCGGATATTAAATGTTTTACCGTTTGCGTTCCGGTTATTATGTTTTTGCATCTAGATCGGATGGATACTTGAACCTCAATCCTCATGAATTGTACTGCCTTGGCACCCATACGCATGTCCTACCTGCTTGAGTTTCAAAGCCTTATTAATCATGTTAATAGGTCAGTGTGTGCAAAATGTACTAAGGAAAATGTTAGAATAGATCTGCACTAGTACTGTGTATCAATTATTGAACCCAAATGCGATATAAATTTTCAGAATTCAAGATGTCACCATGGTTTAGTGAAAAATAATAAGGTTACCATGAAAAAAGATTATAGGGAACAATAGTATTACACAATAAAACAACAAAATTTAATTTAATAATTGGAAATAAATTGTTCAAGTTAAAACATTTTAATTATCAAAATAATTTTATGTAAAAAAAAATGTTGTTAGTCCGAGAGTGAACTGTTCTGACAACAGCAATTTTTTAACGACTGTACTTTTAGTTCCTGGTTGTCATTTCTTATTAATTTGCATATATATGTATGTTTAAACATATCATCCTCATTCAGAATGTATGTCATATACATGTATATAAATAAAGATGAAAACAATATATTTAGATGTTTTATATGGTATTTTAATGTGTTCTGTACATGGTGAAAAGACCTACAGTTACAAATGTATATGATTTCAGTGGTGGTAGATCGACACGATGGAGTGATAAAGAAGATAAGATCAGTAGATGGGGTGATAAAGATGACAGGAGTAGTCTGGAGGCAGCCACTGAAGCAGCTGCTAAAGTTAATGCTATGTTGATAGCTAAAGGTGCTCTCAAGCCTTCACAGTTGTCTCAGCAACAACCAAACAAGCAAAAGGTAAGCATTGTTTCTTTTAAGCTCTTATGGGATTCTGAGTTCATAGCAATTTTCTGATTTGGCCGCCTCAAATTCCCTTATCAATTCCTATTTAGTCTAACTCTATTCAGAAAATATTTTTTGCCTTCTATCTCACCTCAAACTGGCTCCTTTTACCCCTACAGCACCATTCCGTACACCCGAAGCAGGTAAGAATTGATTAAAGGACACATTAGCCTTTCAGAATCCGTTAAAATTTTGAAAAACCTTACCTTAATAGGATTATGTTTCTGTGGCAGAGCAAAACTGTAGTCAAATGAAAGTGTTCTTGTTAATGCTTGTGTCCTTTGGAGAATACTTAAATATTGAAACTCAAAAATAGAAGGATTATGCAAACAAAACTTTGTATTCAAATGCTTGAATTTAATTTTGGAAATTTAAAAAAAAGCAAGTCATTGAGGGTTTGTACATGTATATATATCTGTACACCATGAAATATAGAAACTTTTTTTCCAAATCCAAGAAAACATAGAAATGTTAATGGGTTGCTGTATATTATCATGTGTTATTTTAGGCAACTAGTACTACAACAGGCAACATGGCAGTAGCAGAGGTAGAAATAAATGATGTACCTATTGGCTGTAGAAACATGTTGACAAGAGGATCAACACAAGAAGAGGTATTAGATTTGAAAGGTTGAAACAAATTCTGCATTCAGGCTTATACAAATGTAGAATGAATGTTGACTTGAAAATCAATGTACATTTGTGTATTCACTGCAGAAAATTTTATTAAACTTTTAACTACATTTAAGTTCCACACTTTTAAGGATGTGGTTTCAGAAAACAACTATTATATTCAAGCATGACCTATGCATTATGTGGCAAAATTCCCTTCCTTGGATTTTCAGTAGTTGCTCTGAAAGGCTTCAGTGGCAGCATATTGAAAAAAGAAAAGACCATCTTCCTCAAACTTTTAGATTAAATGCTGTCTAAGCCATGTTAGGTTGTCAATTTTAACATCTTTTCAAGTATCTTATATCTAAAGTTAAGCATGTCCAAGAAATATATCAGTTAAAGATGTATGTGTGGTTCTAGTAACCTGACTGACCCTAGTTTAAACCCCTGACCCAAGAACTTTTTTTTTGCATTTCTGAAGAATTAATTTTGACCGGTCCCATTTTGTGTAATGTGAACTTCAATAATTACATTTTTTTATTAAATTGAATTTCCATTCAATAGAAGTACCCACTAAAGCTAAAAATGTAACATGTCTGTTTATTTTACAACCACACATATAGAAAATTGTGAACTTCCGGTAGGAGCCTGTATAATACCTAAATGGGACTCCTTGAAAACACGATTACAAAAAAAAAACTGTCCTACCCACCCTATTTTTTTTTAGGACATAACTGGAACCACACATATATTTTTATTTGGCCTTATGCAAGCAACAATCAAGAAATGTATAAAAATTAAATAAATTAATAAGATACCATTTTACCTTAGTTTAAAAGGTACATGTAGGCATATTGTTTTATCTGTATGCTGATTAAGTGGTTTTTTATTGTAGATATCTAAAGTCAGTGGCGCAGGAGTTTCCACAAGAGGTAGATATCTTAGTCCACAGGAGAGAGGAGCTGGGTAAGTCCGACTTGTAATTTTCACCAAAATAAGTAAGAGTCTATATTTACACCAGACACCCTGAAGGTACAATGTGCGTTAGGAATGCACAAAAAACAATTCCATCTTTAGGCTTCCTATGATATTTCTAGAAGAATGAATCAGCTACCAAGCACAAAATCTGTAACAGCCTGGTTAAGAAAATCATGTTCAAATTGAAATTCAGAATTACTTGATTATAAACTAATCCTGTTGCACATAAAAATGACAAAATAATTTTGTCTTATTGTTAACTTGACGTGATATTGTGTCATCATGGCTAGAATAAATGCCTCTTTGTTGAAAGTCAGAGAAGACCATAGTTGAGAGATTCATTGAAATGTTAAACAATGCACAAAAAAAAACAATCAACAAAACATACAAACAAAAATATGTGTCAATAAGAATGGTGAAATATGGGTCAAAACCCTTATTTGGTATAAATATTCCTAATTAAGGCCAAGTAAATTTAATTAGTAGATTTTCATCCAAATTTTTGAAAAAAATGGGGTGGGTGGGAGGATTTTATTTTTTATTTTTTATTAGATATGAAACGCTCTTGTGACGTGTTCTTCATATATGCAAGTGTAATAATAAGGTTCTATCATGTATATACATGTATAACGAATCAAACATACAAAGAAATGCAAAAACCAAAATTTGAAACAGGATGTTATTAATGAAAAGAAATTATCGACAGTTACCGGTAACGAAAATGAACAAAATCCGGAAATCGTAAATTTTTCAAAATAAAAAAAATTGGGGCGGAATGATTTCAGAGGGGCGGGCGGGGATGAAAATCTATCAATTAATTTTAATTGGCCTAATATGTGTACTAATTTTTTTTGTCTAGATTTCCACTTATCCAAAACTCTGATGGGTTTGGTAATCAGAAAAATCTAAATAACAGACCATTTTTTTTTGGGAGGTAGTGGGTCTTGAAACATATTCCATATTATTTGTTTTTGCTGAGATAGCCCCTTTATTTTTATTGAATCATATTCAAATGTATAAAGGGTGCATTGATAAGAAAAAAATTTGGGTGCAACTTTATTTTGGGGGAGGGGACACAAATATCACATTTTGAGTATGTGGAATGTATGGTATCTGAGCATTCTCAGTTAAGATTCTTTTATTTGTATACTACCACCATATTATGTTGCAAACCCCAAAACAGGTTTAGTTTGTCTGCATGTAAAATAAAGGTTGGAAGAATTTTAATAGGCAAAAAAGATAATGAAGATCATTTTTGTCAGTAAACATACATGTATATGATATAGCAATGCATTTGATGTATTTCCAGAGACAGACCCCTGTATTTGTGTGTACAAGGTCCAACAAAAGAATCTGTAGACAGTAAGTGTTATTGTGTTACAATTTGGATGTACTAGTAATTTTTTTCCTAAGCAAAATTATTTGTGTGAAATTCAACCACAGATGATGCTTTAAGAACTACGAGCCAGTTTCATTTACCTTGATCTAGACCCAAGTGAGCACAGCCAATTATTGACACTTAGCCTTCTACAATTCTTATGATTTCATTGGAGCCATTTGAACTCAAATTCACCCTTTATAAATTCATAGTTACATGTACTATAGCTACTAAGATACAAAAGGAAAAGAGATAATGTTAAAATCAAGACCACTTTTTCTCAAACACAAAATATAGCCATTCATTAATACCTGCAGGGCTTTTCATGCCTTGATGTAGGATAAATATCATTTAACAGCAATGAAAACAAAAATACAGACAAGTCAACATAATTGTGAAAGGAAAAGTACATGAAAACTAAGCATCATTGTTTTATTCTTGCAGTTGCTGTAAACAGAATTAATGAAATAATCACAAACTATAAGAACAAAGGGACAAGATTTTCTCCTGCTAATCCTCCTCAGCAGCGACCCCAGATATTAGGACCTAATCCAGTAGAACTTATGCCAAGACTTGGTCCACCTCCAGGGTTTATTACACAGCCTCCAGTTTTACCTCAACAACAGACTGTAAGTTACTGTCAAGGCATGGTTATTAAAGCTTCATTTAAGAATTGAATGCTTTTTTTTATGTCCCACCTACGATAGTAGTGGGGCATTATGTTTTTCTATCTGTACGTCCATTCATTCATTCATTAGTCCGTCCGTCCGTCCCGCTTCAGGTTAAAGTTTGGTCAAGGTAGTTTTTGCTGAAGTTGAAGTCCAATCATCTTGAAAGTTAGTACACATGTTCCCTATGATATGATCTTTCTAATTTTAATGCCAAATTAGAGTTTTTACCCCAATTTCACGGTCCACTGAACATAGACAATGATAGTGCGAGTGGGGCATCCGTGTACTATGGACAAATTCTTGTTATAATTTTATTTGGGTGAAAAACACATTTTATATGAAGCGTGGGAAAATGTGTGCATGATCGTTGCTTTAACAACCCTATAAAATTACAAAAAGAAGCATTCAATTCTAAAAATTACAGTTTTAAGCTACAACCATGAAATTAAGAGTTACATCAAATTTTGTTTGTTTTTCAATGGATTATTTTAACATTGTCAAACATGGCATATGCTGTCATAGCTGTTGTTTTTTTATACGGAAATAAAATATGACATTGGATTACTTATCTTTACAGAGCACAAAAACATAGTGTTATGAGGTGAACATTCTTTACATCATATACTAGTATATTTAAAGTAATTTATCAATGAAATATATACTCAGATATTCAAGTATCAAGTGCCAATCTGCCTAAGAATCAGGCTGTGGTGAAAACAATACAAAAAAGCAACCCACTCAGCTTTACATTAATTTAGGTTCAGAATGTATAATGGTGCATGAATATAACATTCGTTTCCTTTCCCAGTTCTGGTAATTCAAGATATAATTTTGTTGAAATGCACTAGAAATTAACAATTATGGGGAGATAACTCTGTAATTTGCTATCATTCTCACCAAAATTTGTCTAGATATTTCTCGAATTTCCAGACACACAGAAACAAAAGACCTACCATTTCTAACTCAGGATAAGGGTACATTCTAAATAGGGTGGTTAGGTCAATGGTTTTTTTTTCGGCCATGTTTTAAATTTTTTCTAAATTGTCTGATTCTTACAAAGACTGGCACTTAGGGCTATTCCATTAAAATGTATGTGGGAGGGTAGGAAGGGATTTTCAAAATATCCATACAACCAAGAACCATTTTTTAGATAATTTTGCATAATGGTAATAGACGCATACTGAAAAACAACCCATGACCCACATTCAATAATCCCTTCCTACCCTCCCACATACATTTTAATGGAATAGCCCTTAAACAAAATTTTGTATGTGTATAACCATACTTGTTAAGAAAAATTAGTTTATTGAAAAGAATATAAATGAATATATCTGTTCTAAGAAAGCCATTAATGGTAATATTTAAATTGAAGCTAAACAATGCTTCCATTTGACAATTATTGTTGTTAAAACAACTACAATTATAGACAATGGAAGATATCTCCAATTCGAAATATTGCTTGCCATCGCTTAAACAATGCCATGTTAAATTTTTAATTCCAACAGAAAAAAAGAATGCAATCGTGTTCCTCCGATGCTCACAAACACTTTGATTTATATCAGCTGTAGGATAGACAAGATAGAAATGTTCTAGGGGCAAATGTTGGACTATATTGATGCTTTATAGAGCAGTAGAGACAAATCATGATCTGCTGTTTCTATTTAACAAGGCCTTGCTTTATTAAAAGTATTTTTTTCAATTTACCATTTATAGATAACAATACTTCAAGAAAAACTCTTCATTGGTTTGGAACATGCTCCACCTCATTTTGGAGTGAAAGAAAAGATACATGGACCTGAGGTGAGATATTGAATAATATACCAGTATTACCTATACTCCATGACTAAATATAACTAAAACACAAATGTAAATTTGCCGACAGCCCGTCGAACGTGATAGACGCTGTATTTAATTTGTATCTCAAATAATTTTCAGCAGTACACATTTTACAAATATTAAACATATACAATGTATTAAATATCAATGTATCAATAGTGTATTCGCTTATATTTCTGAATGTTTACCCTTCATAGATAGTCGAGGCCGTCCAGGAAAAACCAACAATCATTATGTATATATGAATATGAATGGAAACCTGTATCCGATGCCAATGCTCGAGCCTATCTCAGGATAAAAGTGTCGGACCACACCTTTAATTAGCAAATACGTATATAAATTAAAAAAAAAAAAAAAAAAAAAAAAAATCAGAAATCAGAAAAACACTTTAATTGCAATCAGCAATTAAAAAAAGGAGCTTACATGTCGAACGACGGCTAGAAAGTGAAGCGTTTGAAAAAACACCAATATATCGTAACACAAAATTCAACTTCCTGATTGGTCAATTTTGTCATGCCTTATGAATATTTATGAAAATGTAACGACAATACAATATTTTCCCGCTTTACTATACGAACCGCGGGAAAATACGACTATATTGATTTATACTGAAATTCACCTACATGACCTAATGTGCATTTAAATGTAACTTAGTAATATTGCATCATCAATTAATATGTTAAATTCAATTTGATTAAAATACAGTTCCTGTGTTCAAGCTTTACTTTATACGTTTTACTTTCTGTTCTGGTAATTATAACATCAGCCAATAGAGTTTCAGCCTTCAAATTTTTGAAGGTGTGCATTTATCCGACAAAATCGGAGGATCCCGAAAGTAACTAATCATTTACTAATATGCTGTGTATATATACATTTCAGGTATCAGTCATCCTTATAATTAAAGATATAAACCTAGGAAGATGTTGACTCATTTAGAAAGGTCTTTAAACAGAAAATAGAATAGAGGGTTTGCATATCCTTGTAACTAAGCTTGGACACAGGATTTGTATTTTAATCAGATTGTGTTAAACATCTCCATTGAACTAATATTAAACTTTCAATTTTAGGGATCATATCTACAGCATGTAGAAGTTGAGACTGGTGCAAAAGTAACATTAAGAGGAAAGGGATCAGGATTTCTGGATATGAACTCTCCTGGCAGAGATTCCATTGAACCCATGCATGTTTTCTTGGAGTAAGTTAATTTGCACTGACACATATTAATGATATTATGAAGACAGAAATGAATATAGTTGTATTTGTGTTTAATTTGATCTGATTAAATTTTTTCTAAGATAGTAAGTGACTGAGTTAGTGATACAGATCCCATGGAAAATTTTTGTATTTTGTTACTTATTTGCATGTTACATTTTTTACAGAGAAAAAAAAATAGAAATTAGGATGGCAGACTACAGATGAATAATTTACTTTTATTTTAGGCATCCTAGCCCCATTGGACTTGGACAAGCCAAACAACTTGCTGAAAACCTTATTCAAACAGTAAGTAACTCACTAAATTTTTTGATGTCTCAGAACTAATCAGTGTAATTTCATTTTTTGCCCACTTTCAGTTTTTCATTTCTTAGTCCAAGGTATATTTTCTATAGTATAGTGCCACTACAGATCAAGCTTTGTTAGTTTTTTTGGTATTTACAGGAAGCCCAGGGTATTGAATGCTATGGTAGTTGTACTTCCTTGCCTTATCAGTTGATGAAATTATATTCTTTACTGACGATTTAACTCATTGTTCGTGACAGGAATAGTTTCTACTATTAGAGAATTCTGAAGCAGGGTTCTAGATGACTGATGTTTTAGAATATTTTCCTTCCAAGAAAGCTGCAGATATTATGAGAAGATTAGTTTTCAGGATGCTGAGTAGAAGACTGAAGAGAGTTAACAGCATACAGCATTGTAAAGCGCTCCATTATAATTAAAAAGTGCAAACCTGTAGTTCTATTTCTATTGTTGTGTAATGACAGAGTAGAACATACACATGCCAGTGAAGTAGGAGTAAATTGAAAAGTGGGAGGGGGCAAACTTCTGAAAGTAATAAGATAAAAAAGCCCAATAAACATAATAAACTAGTAGTTAATCAGTGTCCTCCATCATATCATTTTTTCATTTTCAATAATAAATACAAAATTTTGACATGAACTGGTGTGGCAATTACCCCCCGACTCCTATGCCAGTGAAAGCACGCTTTAATAATACCCTATTAAACAAACGAGTCTGAATATTTGATGGTTTAGATACGAAAGATAAAAGGGATAATGTTCTATAAAAGGCATTTTGGTTAAATAATTTCATATGCAATAGGTAAAAAAACTGCAAAATATGAAATTAGTGGCTTGACTTTAAGTGTTGCCATCCTGCTTGTGCAGCACTTAAAGTCAAGTCAGAGTAAAAGCTATGAAATTAGGAAAGTAACATACTGTTGTCTTAAGATAAATCAATAAAAGTATAAGAAACAAGACTGTCACCAGGGCAGATATTATATCTATATAGAGTCGGACTATGCAACTTTTATAACCTGCTTACAAAATTTGGATGATAAAGGAATGAGGATATATAATTTTGCTGAAACTATGTGTTGTTTACACAACTGGTAGCCAAATGGAGCATCAAAAGTAAAAATAAACATTATCCAGGACACATCTAGATTCTTTGTGAGGATCGGTGTATATATTTGAGGAAGTGGAATGGATGAACTAAATCTTCAGTTTTTGTTTGTGTCCAACTTTACCCATCAACTTACCGGAACACACTGATTGGTAAAATTATTTAACATCTGATATTGAGATTGCAGTGCCAAATTATCAAAGTGTTCTGTGGAAAAATATTTTTAATTGATATGTTTTCCTTTGTCACTATAAAGAAGAGTTGATGCTGGAGATTAAGAGTTTACATATTAAAACACATAGCCAATGTTGATAAAATCTTCTGCATGAAGTTGCTATGAATATCAATTACAGTGATATATCATTTAGTAGATTATTTCAGGATTGTTTCTTCTAGATCATATTAGCCTAGTTTTGGACGATCTTTTGCTTTTAAATACAGTTTCCTTGTGCTTAAGACTACTATTATACAACAAGTTTTTATCTGAATTAAGAACAAGAAAGTTCAATTATTATAGTATGGATATACAGTTGTGGTTATAGTCCCATGTTAATACAGTTATTTGGAGTTCACCGAGTTAGCTGACAGCTGGTGTTGTAATGATGCTTTAACTGTGATACATGTACATCTTCAACTAGGATACAGTTCAGGATAAGTTTTTTTTAAAGTTGACCCGGACCTTACAGAAGTATTTTCTGGAGATGCAGGAAAAAAGAGCATAATAAATCCTATGCAGTACCTGGAAGCTTAAAATGGAAAAATTGTGTTCTAAGAGACTAAGACCAGAAAAGCTTTCAGTTTATCTGTTATAACATATTTATTTATTGTTTGGAGCTAATTAATGTTGATTTGATGAACTTTGAACAGAATATAAAATAGAGCAGAATGATAACACACATGTTTATAATACTGTACATGTTCACATGAAAAGGTCAGCATTTAATTATACAACTACCTTCGTATGACAGCTAATATTCTAAATACAGATGAGATATACACGAGTTCTGTGGCAACTGATTCAGCAATTTAGAGTTATTTTCTTTGATTCAAGACAAAAAAGAACACCCGATCTGTAATTTTGGACAGAATTCTAAGTGTGCATATTTTTTCTTCATGAGCAATACCGGAACTGCTTGGAACTAAATATATATGTTTTATAACATTGTACATTGAAGTCACTATGTACAACCAGTATTCAGAATCTTTCAGTGTTTTGGTGGATGTGTTTTTTATTGAAATTTATACAGGGATGATGGTTTGAAAGACTGATCTCAACTATTGATTTTTGGATTGTAATTCAGGTTTCAGCAAATGTTTGGTCGTATTACAAACCTGTTTCAAATTGGTATAACAACAAATGTTTTATTAATCACAACAGTTTATTTATATACATGTATACAAAGGTATCAATTGAAATGCAAAGAAATATATACAAGAGAAAAGAATCCTTTACTTAAATATTTTCTTTTTCTGTCCTATTTATATTAATATTTGAACTTATTTTCTGTCCAATTTAATATTAGGGTGACTTTCTGGTGTTTGTTTAATGTTGCTGCAAGGAGCCCTGAAAATACACTGTACAATTGTCTTAAATGTAAACAATGTATAACCATGATAAAATTTGCTCTGATTGTAGGTTCAGCAAGATTATGCCCAATTTCAGCAAGCATTGGCAGCTATACCAGCTGGACACACAACAATTATAACTGGTCTGTCACAGCAGAGTAAGTCCTAATGTAAAACAGAGGCGTTCCAAAGGGTTAAAAATCATTTCTTTTGGTTTTCTTTTTAAAATATTTTATTTCAGGAAATGGTTTAGAAAGTAGACATTTAAATTACTGATTCAGTACCATTGTTGTTTGGGGAAAAGTTTGAACTTTAAACCTCCTTGTTACATATTCCTTGAATAGCCTTAACTAATGTTTCGAAATGAAAGTTTCTATAATTTAAGATTTTTAGGACTGCCAATAGACAGAAGAGGTTGATAAACTGGTTATTAATGATTGTGAAAAGTTTCAGATAAACTGACTAATCAGAGTTATGAAAGGGTACATACAGTCTGATAAATAACGGCAAGCCTTTCATTTCAGATGTGTGTTCATTGAAAAATAATACCTATGAACTTATAAGACCTACATGTATCATTTACAGGGGTTTTAGCAGGAATTTTCAGTCTCACATTTTGTAAACAAAACTTTCAGATGGAGAAGTTTCTAATGTCAAGTCAAATTTTGATGGTATAGCAGTCATGTTCGGTAACCTGCATCAAACACTCACAAAATAAAGGACACAAAAGATCATTATATTGATATCTCATTTTCTTAACTTTATTTCAATTGCAGATAGAAAATAATGACTAGATGAGCTGGAAATTTACTAGTATACATCTTACACCAATACAGTTTTTTTAATGCCTACATTATTTTATTCATATAACATTCCAAGTTAATAGTTGACAGCTAATTTGATGTTGTTCAGCAGTAATTTCTAGGTTTACATTTTATGCCTTTTAAGATTTTTTCATGCTAGGTAACCTATTTTTGAAGTAGGCAATACAAAGAAAAGAGTGACTGCTTCCAAAATCTTGCGATGAATTGCAGAATGAACAGAACACTTTTTCTAATTTTTTTTTCAAGGTTTTTTTACAGGTTATTTTACGGAGAGGAAGAAAGTAATTTTACTTAAGACTGTAGAATTACTGATACAACTCTCCAATAGTAAAACAGTTGTTAGAACAGTTTCTGTGGTTTTCAAGTTCACCAACGAAGCTACATAACTACTGACAGAAACACTGTTATGTGCTCAGCATTTATTTAGTATAATTAACATGTGTTTTAAACTTAAAAGAATTGTATGCAAGAAGCAAGCTTTGGTTTATGCAATCTTACACACAAAAGTGCATTTATTGGTGACTTAATACTGTGGAATCATTTATTTTCATGGATACCAATTTTTGTGGATTGAGGAAAAAAAACTTTCAAGGATTTCTAATTCGTGGTTTGCCAAATTCTTAATACAAGCTTATAGGAGATTTGTTTTTTTGTTTAACATTAAACTTTGTTAATCTGTACCCATGGAAACCAAGAAAATTTGTTTCCCACGAATGATAAAAAATCCACAGTATGCAATAGTGTTTAAGCTAGCTCTAATTTGTATTATATTATCATACATAGATATATTTACCACTTGTCCAGTTCAAACAATCTGATAAATAACTGCAAGCTTTGCATTTCAGCTGTGTGCTCAATGGAAAATAATGACTGAATTTATTAGATTAATCTTTTACAGAGGTTTTAGCAGGAATTTTCAGTCTCATATTTTACAAATAAAACTTTCAGATGAAGACGTTTCTGCAGTCAAGTCAGACTCATCTAATGCTTTAATACGATATTTCTTTTATTTTACAGGAAAACCAAGTCATTAATATATATTTTTACTTTTGTAACCTATTTTTTTTTACAGGATATTTTTTAGAGTAATATAGTATAGAAGTTTATAAATACATCTGTCAAAAAAGACTTTCTATTGATTTTTAAATTTATCATGATATGCCGAAAAAAATAATTTATTTTCATTTAACTTGTTAGTCTTAGATTGAATGTCACATGTGATTAAATACAAGGTTTAGCTGTGGTAATTAAACTTGATTGTATGGCTATTAGAACAGATTAAGTTATTATCTACAAGAGGTCAGAACAAATGTGGTTCCATAGCTGTTAGTTTTCTAAAACAAATTTTGACACAAATTTACTAAGGTTTCCATATGTTCCAGTTGCAAGAAAATATTTATTTTGGCATTTTATGGTAAAAAGTTTGTCAGTGTACACAAAACTAGATAATTTTGAAGATAAGTATTATTCAAAAACATCAAAAACTGCAATTAATTAATAATTAAGCCCCCCAAATTTTTTTGACAGATGAATGAGACTGAAGCATTTTTGTTTTTTTTCATAAATTTAAAAACTGTTCTTTTTTATTTTCCTTCAGCAGCAAGCATACCTGGTACATTGATCAACACAATACCAACTATGGCTCCTCCACCAATCCCACAGCAGTTACCTAGTCCAGGTGTGTTTATGGGTGAAAGAAGATGTGGTAAGAAGGATAAAAGATCAACCCCTTAACCCCCCCCCCCCCCCCCCCCAAAAAAAAAAAAGATCTAATGTTATAATCATCAAGCAAAAAATTAGTTATCATTGATAAACATGTTTTTCGAAACCCTAGCAGAATACATTTATCCCAGTACAAGAAGATGCGGGTATACATCAATGAGACCACAATTCAATTACATGAACAACCAAAAGACATTTAGAGGTAAATATACAGTCTCCAACAATAAACAGATCTTGATGCAACTTGTCAAGCTCCGAATTGTCCCTAGTCTAAAAATAGTTTAACATATATCAGTTAAATTCCACCAGACGTTTCCTTTTTATACGCCCGTTTACGGGACGTATTATGGTATACCGTTGTCTGTCCGTCGTCAACGTGTCAGACATTAACTCAAAAACGCTTCAACCAATTTGCATAAAACTTTGGTGAATTGTTCATATCTATTGATGTGAGCTCCCTTTTGTTTTTTATAAAATTTAGATTTTACGTTTCTGAGTTGTTGGGTTTTATTCATTAAAAAAGGGGGGATTTTCCAGTTTTCAGACAACAACTCAAAAATGCTTTCACCAATTTGCAAGAAACTTTGGTCAATTGTTTATATCTATTGACATGAGCTCCCTTTTGATTTTTATAAATTTTAGATTTTATGTTTCCGAGTTGTGGAGTTTTATTCATTAAAAAAAAAGGGGGATTTTCAAAAATGCTTTCAGCAGTTCTCATGAAACTTTGGAGAATTGTTTATATCTATTGATGTAAGCTCCATTTCAATTTTTATAAATTTTAGATTTTACACTTCCGAGTTCTTGGATTTTATTCATAAAAAAGGGGTGATTTTCTAGTTTTCGGACAATACCTTTAAAGTGCTATGAGCAGTTTTTATTGTCGAGCCTGCGACTTTTGTCGCAGAAAGCTCGACATAGGGATAGTGATCCGGCTACGGCAGCGGCTATGGCAGCTGCTACGGCGGCGGCGGCGTTAGCTAACTTCTTAAAAGCTTTATATTTTAGAAGGTGGAAGACCTGGATGCTTCATACTTTGTATATGGATGCCTCATGTTACGAACTTTCCGTCAGTCACATGTCCAATGTCCTTGACCTCATTTTCATGGTTCAGTGACTACTTGAAAAAAAAGTTCAGATTTTTTGTAATGTTAAATTCTCTCTTATTATAAGTAATAGGATAACTATATTTAGTATGTGCGTACCTTGCAAGGTCCTCATGCCTGTCAGACAGTTTTCACTTGACCTCGACCTCATTTCATGGATCAGTGAACAAGGTTAAGTTTTGGTGGTCAAGTCCATATCTCAGATACTATAAGCAATAGGTCTAGTATATTCGGTGTATGGAAGGACTGTAAGGTGTACATGTCCAACTGGCAGGTGTCATCTGACCTTGACCTCATTTTCATGGTTCAGTGGTTATAGTTAAGTTTTTGTGTTTTGGTCTGTTTTTCTTATACTGTATGCAATAGGTCTACTATATTTGGTGTATGGAATGATTGTAAGGTGAACATGTCTAGCTGGCAGGTGTCATCTGACCTTGACCTCATTTTCATGGTTCAGTGGTTATAGTTAAGTTTTTGTGTTTTGGTCCGTTTTTCTTATACTTTATGCTATAGGTCTACTATATTTGGTGTATGGAATGATTGTAAGGTGTACATGTCCAACTGGCAGGTGTCATCTGACTTTGACCTCATTTTCATGGTTCAGTGGTCAAAGTTAAGTTTTTGAGTTTTGGTCTTTTTTCTTATACTATATATATGCAATAAGTCAACTATATTTGGTGTATGGAAATATTCTATGATGTACATGTCAGTCTCGTAGGTTTTCTTTGACCTTGACCTCATTTTCACGGTTCATTGCTCAGTGTTAAGTTTATGTGTTTCAGTCTGTTTTTCTTAAACTATAAGCAATAGGTCAGCTATATTTGTTGTATGGAAGGATTGTAAGCTGTTCATGTTTGCCTGGCATGGTTCATCTGACTTTGACCTCATTTTCACGATTCATTGGTCAATGTTTAGTTTTCTTGGTTAAGTCTGTTTCTTAGAAACTATAAGCAAAAGGTCAACTAAATTTAGTGAATTGAATGATTGTAAGGTATACATGTATTTCTCGTTTGGTTTATATGACCTTGACTTCATTTTCTTGGATCATGTTAAGTTTATGTAAAAGTTGTAGTAAAGCTTTCATTTAGGACTATCAACATAATATCAATGGTTAGTAAAGAAGGCGAGACATTTCAGCGTGTCCACTCTTGTTAAACATTGGTGACTGGTTTATATCAATTAAGATAACCTCCCTTTAGTTTTTCACAAATTTCTGATATGACATTGAGAAGTTATTGAACTTTATTCCTAAAAAAAATGCGACAGGCGTATCATGCGCCCCTGGCGCAGTTGTTTATTTAAATTTGTATCAATAGTTATTGTAAAAAGTGAATTTGAATTTATGGCATTGATATAATTTATTTCTGATTTTAGTGTTTTGTGTAACAATTTAACAGATATCATTTAGATAATTTTAATAAAATCCACATACCTAATTGTGAAATGTTCCTCGCATTACAGGAACAACCAGATTTATGATACCAACTTCAATTTCTTCAGCTGTTTACTCTCTACCAACATCAATGGGTATGACCCTTCCTTCAGGTAAGAGGATGTGACAGATATAGATTGGATTATTATTCATGAACAAACAAATATATCAAAGTTGTTTTCATTTGGAATTCTATGAGAAAATATGGGTATAAAAAAAAATCAAATTTGCCTCTTTAAATGGTTAAATTATTACTTAATAATTTTGATACATCAGTGGCATTTATCATTACCAATATCTCATGGTTTAGTACTTTCTGGCATAGTAGAAAGCAATCAGTCATTGAAAGACAGGTTAATTAAGAGAAAGATGGGATATGTTTCATTATGAAAGCTTTCCTCTGTGTGTATAGTACATCGCAAAATGAAAATAGAAAAAATATTTGACAAAAACTATAAAAAAAAACAATTTTCAGTCCTAACAGCTCAGCCTCCTCCTCTACTGGTACAGACACAAAATGGTCCGCCACCACAGATGCTGGGCCCTCCACATATGGCACCAGATGTCACCCAGCTGGTTACTACCATGCCACCTGAAGTACAAGTTGTAACCCAGTCTACACTAATACCTACTGGCTCACCTTGGAATACTTCACCAAGTAGTTTATCAGGACAGGTATGGAACAATTCTCTATTTCTGTAATTTGACACTGTATTCCACAATACAATTGCCTTCATTCTACATGTTTCTAAGCCTTTTACAAATACATTTTATGTTTAAAGATAATGTATAATTATTCCATATGTATAATTGCTTTCAACAGAGCTGTATTCTGATTTTTAGTATGTAGAAGTAAAATGATAAAGAATCAGTAAGAGTTGTTTTCTGCTTGATCTATATAAAGAGAATTATGTCTCTTCTTTACATCTTTTTTTGATATTGACCTGAACATTGGTGGAAAATGAAAGGATATGGAGTAAATGTACATGGGACAAAATCGCACACAATACATAGAAAACATAGAAAATTATCAATGAACAGGATTTTTATTCCTGTTCTTCATCTTGACAGTTGATGACATATCAGCATGTTTAAGTTTCAACATGATGTTAACATGTTTTAAATTTGACACTGATTCTGTTTCTTTATAATATTAAAATTACATGTCATTTTCATTCCCTTGTCAGATTCTAGGCAGTGGTGGACCTCCGCCAATATCAACACACACACCATTGTCTTCTTCACCAGTTGTTACAACTACATACACTTATCACACATCATCCAGGGAGGAACCAAAACGTAGGTTCACTGAGGAAAAGTTAGAGGAAAAAGTTCCAGAAAATCTCTTAGGTTATGAGGTAGGAATACTAGTAGAATATCATTGCAGTAATTCATACTTTGAATAAAAAGGTTTTGAGTTGTATTAAGCTTTTTTGGGTTGTCCCATTTTATTTTGGATATAATAAAAATTAGTCAAGATGTTAAATCAATCAATTTATGTAGACAATAATGTTTCAATGAACAATATTTGTAGTAAGTTTTATCCAAAGAGACAAATGTTCATTTTATTTTTTTTAAATATTTATATTCAGCAAACTTAACATTAGTTTTGAGCTGGGAAGCTGCAAAATTGGTTTGAATAAGAATTTATTATTGCCAATGACCATTTTCAGATAATTTTTAGTTTTATGAAAAAATGTATATTACTTAAAATCAAATCATTTTATCATTCATGATAAAAATTTCAGCATGGTCCCCCACATTTAGCCAACCTAGTTGTACAGGGTCCACCTCAGGAGGCACAATCTCAGGTTTCTCAACATATGCCATACCAACCACAAGTTTCAGAGATGTACAGTGTGGCACAATCTACACCACAGCTAGTGTATACAACATCAGCACCACTATCTTCGCCTGATGACAGGTAACTGCTATTTTTTAATGTTTGCCTGTTGTGGATAAATTTATATGCTTATATAATGATAGAGTTAAATTTTTGACAGGTTTTTAATTGTTTATACATTTGAATCTTTAAATCCAATCAGACATGCATTCATTGCAGTCATTTCTGAGCATTAAAAGGAGTAGAGCCAGGAACTCCCAATTTAGGCCCTGTAAAGGTGTTTATTTTTTTTAAACTTAAATTATTAAAGTAAATCTGATGTGTATATATTGCTAAATGTATGATATTGAAAGTATAATAAGAAAAAAATGTATATCTGCTTCATATTTCTAATTAATTTAGTTAGAAATAGGAATAGATTTCATTTTCATCCATTTTCTAGAAATTTGTCAAGTTTTTCAACCTTTTTTCATGATTTTATATGTGCCCCCCCCCCCCCTTTTGCCCATTGAAATGATTGTTGAAAAGTAAAGAATATTGTATGTTAAGAATAATGCAGCAAAAATATTTGTAGGCGAAGGGTGACGCCACTATTAATTTTTCAAAAAACGGTCATGAATTTTGCAATATTCTACAAAAAATCAGGTTTTTACGAAATTCACATACATTATGACGTGACGAATACATCACTAATGACGCCATTGGTAAAAATATGTGTTAACCAAAACAATTGGACATTTTAACATATCTTTTCATCAAATTTTCACCACATTTGCAGTGAAACAAATTTTTTAGGGCCAAAATTATGAGTTAGTGAACCAACTCCTTTACATTCAGACTATACAAAGACCACATAAATTAAATCCCTACTATAGAAGTTGACAGGGCCCTTATTAAAATATTACTGTAATCTGAATGACAAGATTTGAAATAAATATGAAAAAAGATTAAAAAGAGTGCTGATTTAAATGATTTTATTATTAATCAATTAATGTTCTAAGTATGAGTTTAAAATTATATTTTAGAAGTTCACAGTTCACTAACTTTACAATGACACAGCCAGGAGGGTATCCTGGTGATAGTTCTGATAAACAGCTGATGCCGCCACCACCCATACCAGGTATATATATATATTTGTCCTATATAGATTTTAACACAAATGCTATCTCTATTTATCAGTTAAATAACAGATAGAGATAGATTGGCCAATATTTAAGTCTGAATTTTGCTTGAAAATTATCTTTTTGATAAGATAATAATGATAACAACAAAAAGAGTATTATAAGTGACAGATGTCTTTTGTGATGATTTTAATAATGCTAAAATTGGAATAGGTTTCTTAAAAAGAAAATATTTATTTAAAATTTTGAAAAGCCTGAAATCAAAATAATAATCTTGAATCTTTGTCCATTGATCAACAATCGCAATTAGGGCTATTCCATTAAAATGTATGTGGGAGGGTAGGAAGGGACTTTCAAAATATCCCTACAACCAAGAACCATTTTTTAGATAATTTTGCATAATGGTAATAGACGCATACTGAAAAAAGACCCATGACCCACATTCAATAATGAAACTTCCCTCCCTACCCTCCCACATACATTTTAATGGAATAGCCCTTATAGATTCACCCCAAATTTTCTGTATTTACAGTAAATCATATTCTTAGTTTAACCTATGGGAACTTGTTTGCATTCAAACCTATATTTTGTTGGTTTACATTTCCTTCGTTAACAATATATAAAACTTGCTTTATCATTCTTTTAGCATCATTGAAAAGATCCTCTCTTGAAAGACAAGGGGGAAGTGAAAGAAAGAAGGACAGAATGTCTCCAATTGGTAGGTTCGCCATAGGTAAATTTACCAAAACAAGAACAAATGAACAAGATTTATTAAATAGGAATACACATTGATAGATTAAACATCAGTTTGTAATCACTGAAACAGCATTCAGTAGTAAAGTACTATTATAGTATACGTATTCAAGGTTAGTGTTGTGAAAATATAGATCATGGGCAAATCAAATTATCTTTATACCCAATTTTAAAATATATATATTTTTTTCACAGTGTGAAAAAAACAGTTTTTTATAAATAAAAAAGGGAGTTATGATATGATTGCCAATGAGATAACAATCCAACAAAGTAAACAAAGTTCATTAAGGCATTCTAAAGTAAGCAAATCCCATCCTGATCTAAAAGTACTCAGAGGTACTTAAAGCTTGTTTAAAGTTCAATTTGAACTAATAATTATACCTTGTTTGACCAGACTGAAATATCAATTATTACACCTCCCATGGGTTAAGTGAAAAAGCGTATCAAGCAGTCTTAAAAAAAGTATGTCCTTGTGTAATGCTAATATATTAGTATTGACAGGGTACATAACCGTAAGAGTTATCTGGATAACAATGTTAAGTTGTGTATTAAAATTTTGAAAGTAAAATCAATGTTAGTACCAAAAAAGACAATATTCAAATATCTTACTCAATTTTTAATTGATACCCTTTAAGAATAAGTTAAATTTGAATTGCAATAATAATTTGTTGAACATATTTAAATTTATGAGCTCTATAAACAATATCATGGTAAAACATAGGATGGTAAGACATCAGGTAGGTTATCTCTTTAACAAGTTTATATTTGAATAAGAACTACCATTAATAATCTCTATCCATTTCTAAAGCAATTGTTGTTTTGAAGTTATGACATACCTTTTAAAAGTATGATTTTCTACAGGATTTAGAGAGGAAGAAGATAAACAAGCATCAAGAGGGAAGTACCAGTACAACCAGTATTCTAATGCACCACAGCTATATACACAAGGAGAATCTGACGGTTTTACAGACCAGAGACCAGACAATGACCCAGGCTACCAGTTTCAACCCCCACAGCAAATCACAGAACAGTTCCAATATCAACCAAGCCAACCACCAGGATCTGTCATGTTGCAACCACCTCCCTCTCCAGGACCTCCATTAGTCCACATATCTTCTCTCCCATCACATTATTACCAACAACAGCCGATGTACTCTGTATCCCCTTCACAGAGTCCACCACACACATACACTCAGCATGATGTCTTAACCTCAACTGGACAGCCATTTGCTGTACCACACACAATCACAATTGCAGGTCCATTGCCTCCACAAGCCCAAGAACAAATGTTACAGCCACCCCCTGAAACACGACTACAACCAGAAGAAATACCACCACAGATGGAACAGTTACAACAGCCACCACCAAGTTACACAAACATGCCTCCACCAATATCAAGTGGTCAGTACATGACTACACAATCTATGCCACTTATGGCACCACCAACACAGCCATCAGTGTCATATGCTCCACAGCAGGTGCAGCCACCCATGTCTGCACCACAGCAACACAGCTATCCTCCTCCTGGTATGCCTTATTATATTACCAGCTGAATAATTAGACCCAATGCTATTTTAAAGAATAATTTAGCCATAATATCTGAGTGAGAAACTATGATTTCTAAAGGATTCAGCCAAGGCACTAACTAAATGTGCACACATAATATGTCAGCTTCATCATGAAGTATTATGGGATAGTATATGCACTTCTTATGTGTGAAAAAAATCACCGAAACAGTTGTGTTAATAAGTTGAGGCCGACTTTGAAATTATGTAAAAAAAAAAGTGATGAATGATATGAAGACTGCTATGTGAATGTTTGATGCGGTATTAAGTGCTTTGTGGGTTAATATTTTGAATGAGTATGAATATGATAATACATGACGTTGATATTTGTTTGTTAATTATAAATGTTTGTGTGCTTACAGAATAGGACAATGGTTATAAATGGCAGTAAATACATGTCTGCTTACAGAATAAGATGTATTTGAATTGTTAAGTTCTAAATGAAGTAGAATGATTGTATTTGTGAACATTTGCTGTTAGATTTTAGTTTTTATGAATTGTGCTTTGAATGTTATGAAAGAAAAATAAAATATTAACAGTTCATGATTTTTTTAATGTTTTTTGTTTCATGTCTGGTGAATTTCATGTTTGTAGTTTTGTTTTCATTAGGTAAAAAAATAAGGAGATGATGTATGATTGCCAATGAGACAACTATCCACCCAAGTTCAAATGAAGTGGATGTAAGCAATTATAGTCAACCGTACGTCCTTCAACAATGAGAAAAACCCATATCATATAGTCGACTATAAAAAATACCCAACATGAAAAATATGAAACAATTCAATTGAGAAAACTAACGGCCTAATTTATAACAAAACAATTTACGAAGAACAAATATGACAGACAAGAACCAACAACACCACTGAACTACAGGCTCCTGACTTGGGACAGGCACATAAAGAAAGCAGCATTTGTAGTGTTTCATTTAGGACATTATTTCTTATCTAGATAAGAATAAGGTAACACTTATCACTTGCTTAAATTGATGATGAATTGGAAAAGAAAAGATACTGTGTGAATGTACATGAGAGAAAATGTCCTGGACTATTTGGTAGAATAGAAAATATATCAAAGTAACAGTACTTCTATTGTTGTACTTCATCTTGATTGAATTGTGTAATGTCTTTAACCATGAGTATAGGACCTCAAACTTTTCTGGAAGATTATTCTGCAAGATCAGACAGGTCCTTCTGAAATAGAACAAACATACAGAAATAAATAACCTTAATATAGGCAACAGTAGTATACCACTGTTCAAAAGTCATAAATCGATTAGGAGAAACCAAATCTGGGTTACAAACCAAAACCGAGGGAACCACATTAACTATAAGAGGGAAACACTGAACTGCAACAAAAACAAACGCCAACATACATAGAAACGAACTTTTTGATAACAACTGCCATATTCCTGACTTGGTACAGGACATTTTAAGAAAAAATGGTGGGTTGAACCTGGTTAAATGTTAAAAAATATCACTAAAAGTCGTATTGTGTCTAGTATTTCAGGGATGAACATGGATTCCTAAGTTTATAGTTAGAAGCCAGACTTTAAAACGCATTAGCTACTAATTAGACAAAAAATTAAAATAAGATTTTTTTTTCAATTAAAGCGGAACAAAGAGACAATAAATCGCTTTTAGCAGTCAATTTTGTCCAATTTAAGCTAAAAATATAGTATTATTGGCTTGCATAGCAATAATTCAACTCATTTCAATCTGTATTCATGCAACCTTTTATTTAAATGTTAGGGGAAATAGGTTGCACTTGTGTTAAGCATATGGTAAGCATGTTTATTAATAAAAAAGAAAATAAAGACAATATTTAAAAGTGAACAAGGGAGACACTAGGAATAACCATTTCATTGACTAATCTGGTCCTCAAAGAAACATTCTTATACAGGTTAAACAATGATTTACATATATTTTTAGCCTATGACATGAAATCAAACCGTTCCTTGACAAATCATCATTATACGATTGCACATGCTCATATTTATGTTAATATTGGGTTAAACCGTCGGCAGTGTTGGAAGGTAATCTTGATGGATAATTAAATGGTGTCTACCTAGTCTAAAATAGTCATAAAATGCTGATACATCATAGTGAGTCCATGCATTGTCAATTGTTTCTTTTGAACTTTTTGTAATTTGGATTGTTTTAGTATGTTATAAATCAAATGTAAGAATTTAGGTCAAATCAGTGAACAAGAATTTGACAGCTAACACCCTTATAATAATCCCTATGTTTTTAGCTCACCCGGCCCAAAGGGCCAAGTGAGCTTTTCTCATCACTTGGCATCTGTCGTTGTCTGTTAACTTTTAAAAAAATCTTCTCCTCTGAAACTACTGGGCCAAATTTACCCAAACTTAGCCACAATCATCATTGGGGTATATAATTTAAAAAATGTGTCCGATGACCCTGCCTGCCGACCAAGACGGCAGACATGGCTAAAAATAGAACATGGGGGTAATATGCACGTTTTGTCTATTATTTTGAAAACCATTATAAATAGAGAAAATCTGACAGGGCAAACATGTTCAGAATGTTGTTCTACCAATTTTCCATTGAAGTCAAAACTGACAGACGATTTTTTATAGGAGTTATTGCCCTTAAATGACATAGGAGTAGGGGCATTAAGGCCCGGTTTTGGCCCAAGAAAATAAAATGTTTGACACTTATTTCAAAATAGCACATAATGTTTGGAAATGCAAGAATGAAGAAAAATAAATTAAAAACCTAAGATTTGTTATCTGATGACGTTACAATTACGTCATAATGTATACCAAAAATGATGAAAAATACAGAATTTATGGAGTTTTCAATCGTTATTTTCATTGTGGAAACATTGTGCGCAGCCAAGAAACAACAACATAATTTAAGAGAAGTTTTACTTTAAATATTGGCATAATCTCACCAATTATAAAGTTGTTTCTTGGGTGCGCACATACTTTGCCAATCTAAAATATACTTAAAATTAGATGGAAAATAAGGAAAATCAAGAATTTTTACAAAATTTACAAGTTTGGTCATGATTTGTTGCCATGGTAAATCGTTTAATGTGAAATTTGTTTTTATTTTCTGAATACCTTGCACTTTAGTCTAGTTATGGCAAATTTTAAAATAGGAATTATAACATTTAAATTTGCAGTAATATTTGGGCCAAATAAGGGCCTTAATGCCCCTATTCCTTTTTCTCTTTTTTTCAACAACGGCCGCAAAAAAAATTTTGTGGTCGTAGATTGGTATGACGTTGGCGTCGACGTCCCAAGACACATTATTTTTCGCACTCTAACTTTAGTTTAAGTGAATGGATCTCAATGAAATTTTACCATAAGGTTCAATACCACAAAAGGAAGGTGGGGATTGATTTTGGAGGTTATGGTACCCACAGTTAAGGAATTAGGGGCCAAAAATAAGCATTTTTGTAACTTCCAGACATAACTTGTGTGTAAGTGTATGGATCTCTCTGACATTGTACCACAAGGTTCCATATCACAAAGGGAATGCTGGGATTGATTTTGGGGGTAATTGCCTCCAAATTTTAGGAATTAGGGGCCAAAAAGGGGCAAAAAACAAGCATTTTTCTAGTTTCATGACAATAACTTGTGTGTAAGTGTATGGATCTCTCTGACATTGTATCACAAGGTTCCATATCACAAAGGGAATGCTGGGATTGATTTTGGGGGTAATTGCCGCCAAATTTTAGGAATTAGGGGCCAAAAAGGGGCAAAAAACGCATTTTTATACGTTTCATGACAATAACTTGTGTGTAAGTGTATGGATCTTTATGAAATTGTACTACAAGGTTCCATATCACAAAGGGAAAGCTGGAATTGAGTTTGGGGGTAATTGCCCAGAAAAGTTTAGGAATAAGGGGCCAAAAATAAGCATTTTTCTAGTTTCCAGACAATAACTTGTGTTCAAATGTTTGGATCTCTCTGAAATTGTACTGCAAGGTACCATACCACAAAGGGAAGGCTGGGATTGATTTTAGGGGTGATTCCCTCAAAATTTTAGTAACTAGGGGACATAAAAGGGCAAAAAACAAGCATTTTTATACGTTTCATGACAATAACTTGTGTGTAAGTGTATGGATCTTTATGAAATTGTACTATAAGGTTCCATATCACAAAGGGAAAGCTGGAATTGAGTTTGGGGGTAATTGCCTAGAAAAGTTTAGGAATAAGGGGCCAAAAATAAGCATTTTTCTAGTTTCCAGACAATAACTTGTGTTCAAATGTATGGATCTCTCTGAAATTGTACTGCAAGGTACCATACCACAAAGGGAAAGCTGGGATTGAGTTTGGGGGTGATGAATCATAAGGGGGTTCAAAAAATTGGGGGGGGGGGATTTTTTTTCCTTTTTTTTCTTTAAAATTTTCCATTTTAAATTGGTTATTTCTGATTTATATATAAAAGCAAATAATAATGATATGGTTTGAATAGGTAAATTAAAAAAATTTAAGTTCTTAGACCACTTTCATTCTGTGTGAGAAACCTATGCTGTGTCAAATATTTAATTACAATCCAAATTCAGTGCTGTATCAAGCTTGAATGTTGTGTCCATACTTGCCCCAACTGTTCAGGGTTCGACCTCTGCGGTCGTATCAAGCTGCGCCCCAGCGGAGCATTTTATTGCCTATTATCTTGAAAATTATAATAGATAGAGAGAAACTTTAAATTGCAAAAATGATCAGATAGACAAGATCTGCAAATAAGTCCATATATGGTCAAAATCGTCAGTAGACTTCTTATTAAGAGTTTTTGCCCTTTTTTACCATTTTTTTTGCGTTTTTGTCTTAAAAAATACAATAGATAGATAGAAACGTAGATAAGCAAGACAAGATCTACTAATAAGCAAAAACTAAAGAAGATAAAGAGAAACTGAACAAAATAAATTATCAGCAATACAAGATCAACAAAACAGAATTTTGTCATGAATTCTATTCTCGTCTACAATGTTGGAGATTTCCTTTGTTGAATATGCATATAGACCAAGGTGAATGACACAGGCTTTTCAGAACCTCTAGTTATGCATTGGTATTATGCACATATATTTATATATAAAATATACTTTTTCACTTTTTTGGTCTTTTGGAAAATGTTGTTTGTGCTGTATTTAGACCCCTCTATCAAGAAATTTGTTTTGCATGCACACGTATAAAAATTGCTGTTTTTATCCAACGCAATCATAGGTTTGAACGTTGTTTTCAATTTAGACTTGTTTATACTTTTTCGTTTGGGCTTGAATTATATTTGCGTTTGGGTTTATATGATCCGTTCATCCTATTTGGACTCTTCAAAATTTAAGGGTCTATCCTAAATTGAGGTAAATTATATGGCCTTCCAAATACCGTTTCGATTCCTAACATCACTGAAGAGACATCAATTGTCGAAATCCGGATATGGTGTACTAATTCTTACACCTTTTGTTTGCGGAGACCATTTTTTCCGCAAGTTTATTGTTTTCTGTTTGGTATCAAATTAATAATTAAGGTCCATTTTGTTACATCTGGTGATCCGTTTATTTGGCAATCGCCAA